TCAATAACAGAGATTTTGGCTTTATCCACTTCAATTCCTCTTTTGGACACCTTGTGTCCTAAAACAATACCCTCTGTCACCATGAAGTGACACTTCTCCCAATTCAACACAAGATTACAATCTTGGCATCTTTTTAAAACACTATCCAAATTTTCTAGACAAGCATCAAAAGTAGGACCAAATACAGAAAAATCATCCATAAAAATTTCAATGCATTTTTCTACCATATCAGAGAATATGGAAAGCATGCACCTTTGAAAAGTTGCTGGTGCATTACATAAACCGAAAGGCATCCTCCGGTATGCAAAGATTCCATATGGACAAGTGAATGCAGTTTTCTCCTGATCTTCTGGAGCCACAACTATCTTATTGTAGCCGGAGTATCCATCTAGAAAACAATAGAAAACATGTCCTGCCAATCTCTCCAGCATTTGATCTAGAAATGGAATAGGAAAATGGTCTTCCGGGTTGCTTTGTTGAGTCTCCGGTAATCAATGCACATTCTCCAGCCAGTGACTGTTCTTGTAGGAATTAATTCATTATTCTCATTCCTCACAACAGTCATTCCTCCTTTCTTAGGCACCGTCTGAACTGGACTCACCCAAGCACTATCTGAAATAGGATAGATCATTCCAGCATCAAGCAGCTTCACCACTTCCTTCTTCACTACCTCTTTCATAGTAGGATTGAGTCTTCTCTGTGGTTGCCTCACTGGTTTAACCTCCTCTTCCATCAATATCTTATGAGTACAGAAGGAAGGGTTGATACCCTTGAGGTCTGAAAATTACCAGCCCATGGTTGTCTTGTTCTTTTTTAGCACCTCAATCAACTTTACTTCCTCCCCTTCAGACAACAATGCATTGATAATGGCTGGGTATGTTTGATCATCTCCAAGAAACACATACTTGAGATTTGAAGGTAGTTCTTTAAGCTCCACCTTGGGTTCTCCCTTAGGAATGTCATCTACCTTCTTTTCCAGCTCTTCTATTTTTGGTTCTTCCTGATAATATTCCACACTTGTCTCTTCCTTGAATTTGTCTTTCTCAAGTGAAAAGTCTTCTTCTCCTATCACTTCTTCCACAACCTCCTGTATGATATCAATTCTGAAACAATCTTCCACATCAACAGGATGTTTAATGGCTTCAAACACATCTATGGTAACTGTTTATTCATTCACCCTTAACATCATCTTCCCTTGTTCAACATCAATCAGGGATCTTGCAGTGCCTAAGAATGGTCTCCCTAGGAATAGAGGACTTTCAGTATCCTTCTCTTCCATATCAAGTATAACAAAATCCACAGGGAAGATGAATTTATCCACCTTGACCAGAACATCTTCTACCACCCCTTCTGGTTTCTTAATTGATCTATCGGCTAGATGCAGAATAATATTAGTGTCTTTCAACTTGTTAATCTCCAACGCTCTGCAGACAGACAATGGCATCAAATTTATACTTGCCCCCAAGTCACAAAGTGCTTTTCCTACTTCCACATCTCCAATAGCGATAAGAATGCTGAAACTTCCTGGGTCTTTTAACTTTGGAGGAAGCTTCTTCTGAATCAGGGCGCTACATTCCTCCGTTAACGCCACAGTCTCACCATCTTTCAACTTCCTCTTCTTAGACAAAAGATCCTTCATAAATTTTGCATAGTGGGGCATGTTCTCCAAAGCTTCAGCAAATGGAATGTTGATCTGTAATTTCTTGAAAATACCCAGATATCTTGCATAATGTTGTTTCTGAATTTCTTGCTTCAACCTCTGAGGATAAGGAACTTTGGCATATGGAGATAGATTAACTGGCTGGTCCTGCTTGTCAGTCATTTTCTTCTTCTCCCACTTCATCAACTTCTGGGGTGAAGAATTATTTTCCACAACTACCTCATCTTCTTTCCTATCTTTCTCAACTTTTTCTTTTTCATCATTTTCAACTACAACATCTTCAACAACAACTTCTTCCTCATCTTTCTTTTCTTCCACTTTCTTCTTAACCGGTTGAAGCACAAGCCCACTTCTTGTAATTATGGACTTGCAATGCTCCTTTGGATTCACCATTGTATCACCAGGGAACTTTCACTGTGGTCTCTTAGATATCTGTCTAGACAACTGACCAATTTGGGTCTCCAAATTCCGGATGGATGCTTCCTGGTTCCTGAATGCTATTTTTGTCTCTTGCATGAATGCATAAGTTTCTTCTCTGAAAGAATTTGACCCCTTAATATAATCTTGAGTAGTCTTTGATAACTGGGCAAAAGCTTTCTCCCATGCAGAGGTATCACCTTGTTGTGAAGAATGTGGAGGAGGATGCAGTGGAGGATTCAACTGGTGATTAGAACTATAACTGAACCCTGGGTGTTGATTCCTATTCTCCCATGGTGGAACATATACATTTTGCCCCTGGTTGTTATGGTTCCTCTGATCATACCATCCCCCATTCACTTCTGCTTGTTCAACAGATCCCCCATAATCACAATCGTCTGTAACATGGCTTTTCCCACAAATTGCACACACAGGATTAGTGTCTACAGAAGCAACCTTTTGAGAAGATAGCTGCTTAGTGAGAGTATCCAACTGTTGTTGTTGTTGTTTTTGCACTTGCATCATCTGATCATTCTTGGCTAACAAAGCATCATAACCATCAAGTTTTATAATTCTTGTTCCTCTGTCATTCACCGGAGCATTATCGAACTCTTGAGATGCTAGAGATTCAAATATGTCAAGGGCTTCCTGAGGCGTCTTGGTTGTCAATGAACCACCAGCCATGGCATTTACCAATGTCCTAGTGTTTGTTGTCAACCCTTGGAGAAATATTGCTGCTTGATTCCATACTTCGATTCCATGTTGTGGACATTTCCTCAAAAGTGTCTTGAATCTCTCCCGGGATTCATAGATAGACTCTGATTCTTTTCTCTTAAACCCTGTAATCTTATTCTTCAATTTCGGCCTCTTTGATGCTGAAAAGAACCGGGATAAGAACTTAGTCTGCAGATCATCCCAAGTTGTGATACTTCCTTGAGGTAGTGATTGTAACCATCTTCTTGCATCATCCTTCAGTGAATGTGTGAACAATCTTAACAAGATGGCATCTCTAGTCACACCATTGATCTTCACCGTACTCAAAAGTAAGAAGTTCTCAATGTGCAGATATAGATCTTCTGCACTGGTGCCAGCAAATTGTTCCTTCTGCACCAATTGTACTAATGCAGGTTTCAACTCAAAGTTGTCGGGCTCCACAGTAGGTCGAACTACACTCCCAATCGGTGGAATGACAGTGGGAGTCATGTAATCTCCCAATGTCCTATGTGGTGGTGGTCTGTGATTTTCTTCCATGACCTCTTCCTGAATTGTCACACTAGATTCACCCCTTTCTTGTAGCTTCCTTTGTCTTGCTGTCTTCCTGTTCTTCCTAATTGTCTTTTCTAATTCTGGATCAAACAACAAAGAGTTTGGATTAATAGTACCTCGCATACACTAGAATTGGAATTGACAAAACTTCACACATAAATATAAATCGCTAAAAATAAAAGATTCAATCTCAAATATTAATGGTGTCTGTCAATGTTGAAGAACAAATCCCCGACAACGGCGCCAAAAACTTGTTGCAACTTTAGCAAGTGTACTAGTCGTACAAGTAATAAAATGATGAATAAAGATCGTTCCCACGAAGATTTGTGTTCAAACACCAACTAACCATTTATACTTAAGTTGAATCAAACAAAAATTCATTAATTGCATTGATAATTGTCACCAGAAATTTGAGTTGTATTAGAACTTGACAAAACAACTAAAATGTGAATTACAATTTTAAAACAAGTAGTCAGAAATCAATTTCCCCCAAACATGAACTTATGTAAGAATCAATCCTATTATGAATTATCTCCCATGTGATGTCAATCAACCTTTTTCGTATCACCAAGATGTAATCCCTTACTACCTTGGTTGATACATTAATCAAGAACCCCAATCCCATGGTGATTATCTTCTTAATACATACATTAAACACTAAGATTTTAAAGATCGCATCAAAGTCCTAGTCTCAATCCCTTGAATAATAGAACACTGATGATGAAATTACCAGTTGTAGAAATAATGTAAACATTCATGTTCTACACTACTCCTTTGATAGAAAGAATTGATAAAGATAATTTCATATCATCACATAAAAGACAATCATAATATAAATTTAACCATACATAAATTCATCCTTGAGTTCCATTGAAATCAGACTACAAAGGACTCTACTCAGACATAATAAAAGAAATAACAAGAGAAGCAAAAAGATCAAAATCCATTGTCATGATGTTGAATCTTCAATCTTTAATCATAATTACATAAAGTATACTAACTAATACAATACTAAGTCCTAAGGAATTTGGAAGTTCAAAGAAAAGGAAAAGTCAGATCAGAGGATCTCTATGATAGCATTTTTTTCAAATATGAAGGCCCCTTGCCTTTTATAGTTTTCAAATTACAACTGAATAACAACCAAAAATTGACTTGGACGCTAATACGTTCCTTGTTGGACGTTTTAGCATTCAACTTTGACGGATGCCCAACTGCTTTTAACTGTCTTCAGCGCTAAAACATTCGATTTAGACGTTTTAGCGTTCAAGACCAGAACCTTTTCGCGCATTAGAGCGCTAAAACCTTTGCATTGGACGTTTTAGCGCTCGGCACCAGCAATTTTTGGCTTCATTTTGCAGCAGCGCGCTAAAACGTTCGCTATGGACATTTTAGCGCTCAACACTTAGAATTCTCCCATTCTTCAGAATCTTCTTCCTTCTCTCATTTGCTTCTTTGAGATTCATTTCCCTACAAGAACAATGTAAATTTTCAACAAAACTTTCAGAACTTGTATTGAGGATTTTCCAGGACATTAACCTCTTTTCCATCCATTTACTCACACAAATTAATACTAATTCATGCTTAAAAACCTGATGAACTAAGGGTTTATTAGGCATCCACACTTAGATTCTCTTAAGAGTGTACTTAAGTCTTGTAATATACATTTCAATAATAAAATGGCAGAATTTTGTGCCCCTTGTTGTTGTGCCAAGGCTCATAGATTGCATTCCACACCTTCCAATACTGAATATAAGGACCCATTTACCCTTGTCTATAGTGACCTATGGGGACCCTCACGTCTAAAATCAACACTTGGTAATAGCTATTACGTCTCATTTGTAGATGCTTATACCAGATATACGTGGCTCTATCTATTAAAGTAAAAATCAGATGCAATAACAATCTTCAAACAGTTCCATGCTGTGATAACTAACCAATTCCAGCTACCTTTAAAAGCTTTACAAATTGATTGGGGTGGTGAGTTTAGAGCCTTTACTCAGTACCTTCAAATGAGTGGAATAGCCCATAGAGTTACTTGCCCTCATACCTATCACCAAAATGGTGTAGTTGAGAGAAAACATCGACATATTTTGGAAACCGGATTAGCTCTTCTAGCTCACTCCTCTCTTCCAATGAAATATTGGGACTATGCCTTTACAACTGCCAGTTATCTCATAAACAAACTCCCTTCCTATGCTATTAATTTTGATATCTCATACACTAGATTACTCAACCAGCAACTTGATTACAAGTTCCTTAAGATTTTTGGGTGTGCATGTTTCCCTTTCCTCAGACCATACAACAAACACAAGTTGGAGTTTCGATCAAAAGAGTGCATTTTTCTTGGTTATTCACCAAATCATAAGGGGTATATCTGTCTAAGTCCCGAAGACAAAAATTTTATATCCAAAGATGTATTGTTTCATGAGTTTCGTTTTCCCTATAAAGAATAGCAAAACACTAACCAACCTCCTCTTAGTCCACAACCACCTACTTCTAATTCTATTCCATTAAATATCCTCCATCAGCCTATTCATCCAACAACAACCAACACCTATCCTCCTCACACTAGTACATCAACTTCTGTCAGTTCAGAATCTGTCCACAATAGTGTCAGTCCAGTACACCAACTTCAAGTCCTTTCACTTCACATACTTTGTCTACACATGAGTCACCCCACACTGAATTTTCAATACCTGTCAGCCCAGCATCTTTCACTCAGAATCAATCACACCACACTGAGTCCAGTACCTCTCCTACTCCTAGTATCTCTTTTTCAAATAACTCCAACTCTCTCTAGTCCAGAATCATCACACTCGAAGTATGTACCTTCTGGTTCACTGAGCTCATCCTCCCCTGATTATTCTATCAACACTAGATCAAAAACTATGGCCAAGAATATTGTTTTGCTTACCTATTTTGAACCTACATCTGTTAAACAGGCCCTAGCTAGTTCATGCTGGCACCAAGCAATGAAATTGGAATATTCTGCCTTACAACATAATATAACACTTAGTCTCTTGTCCCTTTACCTCATGTAGGAAGACTATTGGATGTAAATGGGTTTTCAAGGTTAAAGAAAATCCTGATGGCAGTGTGAACAAGTACAAGGCAAGACTAGTGGCAAAGCGGTTCCATCAAAGACCAGAATTTGATTAGAATTAGACCTTCTTTCCTGTTATCAAACCTGTTACTCTTAGAGCTATCCTTTCTATTGCTCTCACATATGGTTGGCCTCTAAGACAATTAGATGTTAACAATGCTTTTCTCAATGGATATCTTGAAGAAGAAGTGTATATGGTTCAGCCTCCTGGTTTTGAATCCGAAGACAAGTCACTAGTTTGTAGACTTCACAAGTCTTTGTATAGCCTTAAACAAGCCCCTAGAGCTTGGTTTGACAAACTCAAAGGCTCTGTTATATCCCTTGGATTTCATGCAAGTAAGTATGATCCATCATTATTCATTTACAAGACAGGTACAATGAGAATATACATGCTTGTCTATGTGGATGATATAATTATCATAGGGAACAATTCTGCCTTCATTCAACATCTTATCTCTCAGCTTAATTCCACATTTGCTTTAAAGGATCTAGGAGAATTAGACTACTTCCTTGGCATTGAAGTCAAGAGGCATTCTTCTGGATCTCTTTCTCTCAATCAGTCTAAATATATAAGGGATCTACTCTCTCGAGTTAATATGTGCGATGCAAAGCCCATCTCAACTCTCATGCCTTCTAGCTGCAAATTATCCAAAATTGGCAGCAATCTCTTTGAAGACCCTCACCTATACAGATCTGTTGTAGGTGCCTTGCAGTATGCTACAATAACCAGGCCAGAAATATCCTTTGCTGTTAATAAAGTCTGCCAATTTATGAGCCAACCGTGTTTGGAGCATTGGAAAATTGTTAAACGTATCTTGAGATATCTACAGGGAATTCTCAATCATGGCCTTCATTTTCAAACAGTCAGGTCAGCCTCTGGTTCTTTTGGACTTACTACATTTTGTGATGCTGATTGGGGTGGTGATCCTGATGATAGGAGATCCACTTCAGGAGCTTACATCTTCCTTGGACCCAATCTGATTTCATGGTGGTCAAAGAAGCAATCCATTTTAGCCAGATCATCTGCAGAAGCAGAGTACAGAAGCATGTCCCTTGTTTATGCAGAAATTTTTTGGATTAAGTCACTTTTTCATGAGCTGCATTTGCCTCTTTCTGTCCCACAGGTTCTCTATGATAATTTGAGTGTTGTTGCTATAGCACATAATCCTATTAAGGGTGTCAAAACGGGTCGACACGACACGAATTCGACACGATACGAATACATCAACACTAACACGACACGAATTTTTATTCGTGTCAAAATATTCAACACTGACACGACACGAATTTTTTGCGGGTTGACACGACACGACACGAATAACACGAAAAATAGGGGTCAAATGGTAATTGACAATTTTTTTTTTAAAAAATGGATCAATATTAAAAAAAATAAAAAAATAAAAAAAATAATTTTAAAAAATACGAGTCGACACGAACACGAATACATCAACACGAACACGACACGAATTTTCTACGTGTCATTTTTCTCAACACGAACACGACACAAATTTTTTGCGGGTCACTTCGAACACGAATTTTTGTGTCGTGTCACGGGTCGAACCGCGTGTCAAAACCTATATTGACACCCCTAAATCCCATATTGCATACGAAAACAAAGCATCTAGAACTTGATCTACACTTTCTTCGTGAAAAGGTTGTGGCCAAAGACATACTAGTTCATCACATCCCTGCTACTAATCAGATAGCTGATTCTTTCACCAAGCCATTGCCTTTGATGTCCTTCTGTGACTTCAGGATCAAGCTCAGAGTCTTGAACTCAGCTCTGCCTCGTCAATCCTGCTAAGCTTGAGGAGGAATATTAGTGATACCGATTAGTTGTAGTAGGGTATACTGTAAATGTCACACCAGATTATTTCTCTATAAGTTTGTTAGTTTGTTATATAATTTGTTAGACTTGCTGAGTCATCAATGTATTAGTCTTAGCCCTATATATATAGAGCTGAGCGTATTGTACAAATCAATCAATCATTCATTTCTCAATATTAATTACAAATGTTCA